GTTTTATCCTTATGGAAATATTGAATTTGTTAGAAAATATTATTATAGATAATGCTTAAGTATCTATATTAATAACTTAAAGATTATAATAAAAATCTCTGTGGCTATAAAGAAAACACTTCCTCAACATAGGGCATTCAACATAAGTGAAAATATATAGATTGCCTTAGCAAACTAGGAGTAAACGAACCTTTTCTTAATCTAGCAGAGAGCACTCATAAGTGCCATAAGTGCCAATCAATGCCATGGACCAAAGTGTTCCTTTACCATAGAAGTTCCTTTAACACTCTATCAAAATGGGTTTCAGGGCTATGATTTCCCTAAACTCTTGTCTGTGTCTGAATCTCTGTATTGTTCCTTCAAATCTGAATGTAATCTACCTGTATATTCTAGCTGGTGATGTGTTTATTTCTTTGAGTTTTTGTACTCGACCCATCCATTCTCTTCTGGCTTTGTCATTCACTGCAAGAACAATGTGTCTTGGTTTTTCTATTTGAGTCTATTTTCACTGGGATCTTTTAGACCTCATAGAACATGGGTGTCTGTATTTCTCACCTCTGGGAAACTCTTATCTATATTTTAGTTAACTATTGGGGCTTCATCAAATTCACCTTCTTGTTCTTCAGACTCTTGATATTTCTTGTATTGTTCCTCTTACTCTTGTCCACAGTTTTGTGTGTATTGTTCATTTCTTTACAGACTTATTTTTTAATCTTCTGCTGTTTTCTGAAGTTTTTCCAAATCTCATCCTAGAGCTCCTTGATCTTTTTCTGAACTGCTGTTATTCTGCTGCTCAAACCTTCTGTTGCACTTTATATCACCTGTCATACTCTTCATTTGTGTCATTTTTGGTGGTAGAAATCTCATTTTGGCTCTCAAACTTTTCCATACTTTCTTACTACCTGTGCCATTGTTTTTTTGAGTTCATTCAACATCCGCAGGATGCTGTCACTGAAGTCACTGTCTGAGAAATATATAGAGTTGTTTGAGCCTCCCTGTGACCGTTTTCACTCATTGAACTTAGGCTTCTCTGCAACTTAATTGTCAGGTTTGCTGTGCTTCTGCCATGCCGAAGGTGAACCTTTACAGTTCGCTCCCTGGGAGTCTCCAGGAGATAAGGCTAGGAGTTGTTCTTTTCCTTCTCTGCTTGTCTTCATTCAGGGACAGGAAGTATATCACTGACAGCGTGATATTTGATGAAGAGAGCTTTCTCTGAATATTGCTGTATGTTTTGAGGTGTGGTGCAGGGTCTGTTGATATGGCAGCGTACAGGGGTGGAGGCTGCCAGAAACTCGCCAGAAGGGAGAGAAACATGCCTCTGATTCCAAAAAGGCCTCATAGATGTCACCATGGCAGGGTATGGAGGCTTGCCTTCTCAATGATATCTTTGGAAGAACAAATATTTTATACGTTGATGAATTTTAGTTGTTGTATTTAAATCAGTGCTTTTTGTGTTCTGTTTTAGAAATCTTTGCTTACTCACTTGAACAAATATATTTTTCTATTTCCTTATAAGTTCTATAACACCTGCTTTTGTATTTTGATTTTAAAATTATATGTATAAATTCTTGGATTTAAAAAAATCTTTATTCCATCACCACACATGAGGAAATAAATAACACATCTTTATTGAGGCATTCTGAGTGTCAGTACTGTTAATGATAGTTTGGATGTACACCTCATCCCAATACCACACCTACTATTAAAATACCCACTCTCTTCCACCAGGGTCCCCGAGGCTCCTTAAGTTCAGATACTCCAACTCTCCCATGTCTGTTCTGTGGACCAGCTCTCCAGTTCTGTTACCTGTTCCCGTTTGTTGTTCCCTTACTGTGTATCTTTAAATCCCACCTGAGCAGCCATTCAGTGTCTTTCCTCCTGACTTATTTCACTTAGCATCATACTCTCTAGTTACATTCTTTCATGGAAAATTCTCATAGCTTCATAAAATTCCATTGTGTATTAATGCCACAACTTGATTCATTTATCTGTAGTTGGGTATTTAAGTTGTTTCCATATCTTGGCTATTGTACTAAGTGCTTCAATGAACAAAATTGTGCATATACCCTTTCAAATGAATATTTATGTGTTTGGTGTGATACAGACCCAGATGTGGTATTATCAAGTCATAGGGAGAATCTATTCTGAATTTTTTGAGAACTGTAGCACTGTAGCACTGTCCTCCTGTTGTTCATTGATTCACTTGAGTGGGCACCAGTAATGTCTCAACAAATTGTGAGACTTATTGTTACTGTTTTGGGCATATAGAATACATCACGGGTAGCTTGCCAGGCTTTGCCACGCAGGCGAGATACTCTTGGTAGCTTGCCGGGCTCTCTGAGAGGGCCAGAGGAATCAAACCCAGGTCAACCACATGCAAGGCAAACACCTTACCCACAGTGCTATTTTTTCCCCATTGAGTTGAACCAGATGACATTCTCCCCACAACTAATGAGGTCTCCTTTTTCACCATAACCTCATCAAAACTGGCTATATCAAGGCTTTTTGATGTAGCCATTCTCATTGGTGGGAGATAGTATCTGTTACTTTGATTTGCATTTCTCTCATCATAAGTGACAATTAGCACTTTTTCATATGCCTTTTAGCCATATGTATGTCTTCTTTGTCTATCTCCTCTCCCTATTGTATTGTTAGATTGTTGTTGTTGCTGTTGAGCTTTATAGATCTTGAATATTAGCTCTCTATCTGCTGTGTTGTCTATAAATACTTTCTACCATTCAGTAGAGTGTCTATATTTTCATGTTTCTCTGCTCTGCAGAAGGTTAAGCGGATGAAGTTCCATTTGTTTACTTTGATTGATCGATTGATTGATTGATTGATCTTACATCTGTGTTAGCTTATTGAAGTCACCTCTGAGGTCCATTTCCTGGACACTTCTGTTTTTCATTAATGTACGTTATGGATTCTGGTCTAAAATCAAGGTCTTTAATCTATGTGAATTTACTTTTGTGAATGGTATTAGATCAGGTTAACTATATATGTAAAGTATTTACATTTAAATTTTTATATTTTTATATTTAAATTTTTTATTTTCAGCATAAATATTGTCCCTTTGTTGACATGTCAAGATTGTGCTATTTGAGTGTTTATACTACAAATAGTCAAAAGTACTTTAGATGATTAGGTCATATTTAAAGGCATTGTTAGGTTAGATTTTTAAATTAATATGTTAGAAGAATAAAATAATAATGTAGTATAGTGTTCATAATGATAATTCCTTCTGTGCAGTAGAGGAAAAATACACTTGAATATTGATAAAAATACTAAATTATGGGGGTTGGAGTGATAGTGCAGCAAGTAGGGTGCTTGTTTTGTACACAGCAGACCCAGCTTCAATCCCTGGCATCTCCTCAGGTCCCTGGAGCACAGCTGAGCACAAAGCCAAGAGTAATCTCTGAGCACTGCCATGTGTAGCCCTAAAACAAAATAAAAGCCAATTTTGAATTTAATATTATTATTCCAACATTTTCTTTTACCTTCTCTCCTTCCCATTTTTTCCTCCCTTTTTTCTTTCTTGTTTTATACCTTTTTCTATTCTTATTTTTAAAAATTCTCTCTTTTAGCACTTAATTATTGTATGGTTTAAAAGTTGGGATATTTAGATGATAAAATATTGTCTAAAATGTAATTGACTGCTGAGATTAAATTATGTGATGCTTTTTTTATAATGAATTGTTCACATCTCTGGTCTTGTATACACTAATGATATTATAATTGATGCTTATTACTTTATTATACAGGAAATTATTTGGATAAGATTTGGATAAAATCTTGTAATGTCATAGACAACTATTAGTTATATCTAGTTTATATGTGGAAAGATTAACTTTTTTTTCTTTTTGGGTCACACCTTGCCATGCTCAGAGGTTACTCCTGGCTCTGCACTCAGGAATCACTCCTCGCAGTGCTTGGGGGACCAGATGGGATGCTGGGAATCAAACCCTGGTCAGCTGCGTGCAAGGCAAACACCTTACCCCTGTGCTATCGCTTCAGCCCCAAAAATTAACTTTTAATAATTTGTGATTTGTGTAGAAAAGTTATTCACTATGATCAAGTGAAAATTGGAAATTTTGCAAAACGAATTTTCCTTAGTTCTTCACAAAATGACTTACAATAGCCTTACCTGTATTGTAATTTAAGAGAAAAGTGTATGACAGTTTTCTAGTTACAGAGATACTATCATTTTGAAGACTGACATTTTTTGTTTGTTGGTTGGTTTTATTTTGGAGCCACATCCAGCAATGCTCAGGGCTTACTTCTAGCTCTGTGTTTAAGAATCCCTTTCTGACAGTACTCAGAGTAGCAAACATGGTGCTGGAGATGAAACTATGCCTGAACCCTGTACTATCTCTCTGGGCACAACAATTGTCCTTTTTCACAGAATTTTGTTATAACGTATATTTTTTTAAAACTTGCTATGTGGTAAGTTTTATTTTTTATTTTTATTTTATCTTTTTGCTAAGTTACCTGTACATTTTTTAAATTTTTTATTTATTTTTATACAATTCTAGGGCACTGTGATTTACAGTTATTTTTAGCTTGTCTCAGGCATAAAATATTCTAATACCATCCCACCACAGTGTCAATTTCACTCCACTGAGTTCCTCCTGGTTCTGCCTCCCTCAAAGTTTGCCTCCTTGACTTGCACATTTTTACATTTGATTTTTGTCAATTAGATTTTATACTTACAGGATTGTTGGCTCAGTAGTTTAGATAAATACATAATGTATCAAGGGCCTGAGGCCTCATTCAGTAAATCCCCACCCTTTCTTCTCACCCTCCTTGGTTTCTTTACTTGTCTTAACAGTTTTCCAGTGTGTTTTGTAGCCTCTTGAGGTTACATTCCCTTCGTCTTCTGTTGATTGAATGTTCTGAGTGAAGTATCTGCTCAGTGTGTTTTCTACTGCTTCAAATTTTCTCATAGGAAATGTATTTTCCTAGAACTTGGGAAAAAAACACCTTTTTTTTTCTTTTCATAGGATAAGAAATGGGTTCTCAATCATGAGGATGTCACATTGGGAGAATTATTGGGCAAGGTAAGTAATAACTGCGATAAATAACAAAAATCGTTGTGATAGTGAACTCTGATGATATTTTTTAATCCTTTTCTTATATCCCAGTGTACAAAAATGAGCACATTCCCACATTAACAGATAAGAATACAGTGCCACATATGTACATGCAAATTTTGTCACTTCTCTAAAATAAATGTATGTCTATCTTTGAAAGGTCTAAAAATGATCCTTGACATTAAAAAATGTGTATATATATATATATGTGTGTGTGTGAGTGTGCATATATATGTGTTATATATATATATATATATATATATATATTCCCTCAGAAAGAATAAAAGCCACAAAAATTGTATCACAGTGTAGTAAAGTTAAAACTGGTGAGCTGAGATTTCAAAAGAAACTAGGATGATTTGCCTCTGTTTATACACAAGGGCTCAGGAGAAGTAAAGTGCTGTTCTTTGAAATTTCAGAATTATAAATAGAATGGTTATCTGTAACAGCAACATTGCCTTGAGAGTGTTTAGGTTGCCAAAACATATTTTAATATTTTCATTTTGTAAATAGTGATAGCACAGCATGTAAGGCATTTGCCTTGCATGCGGCCAATCTGGGTTCAATTCCTCCGTCCCTCTCGGAGAGCCCGGCAAGCTACCGAGAGTATCCCGCCCGCACGGCAGAGCCTGGCAAACTCCCCATGGCATATTCAATATGCCAAAAACAATAACAGCAAGTCTCACAATGGTGATAATAATGGTGCCTGCTCGAGCAAATTGATGAACGGGAGGACAGTGCTGCGGTGCTACATAGCTCTACTAGTGGTTAGAGAGGGCAGACATATAGAATCAAAGTACTTTGCTTATACCTGGGAGACAGCTCAAAGAAATGGAGTGCTTGTCTCACATTTCTTGAGTTCATCCCCTGACACTGTATGGTCCCTGGACACTTTCAGGTGTAGCTCTGGTGGACTCTGAGCATTTCTCTGTGTAGTCCTGGTGACTCCAAGAAGTACTGGGCCAAGTATATGACGTTCCAGAGCCTGGTCAAAACAACCAAGTTCAGTGCCACTGGGACTGTGCCTCCTGAGCACCTTTTGGGTGGACCGCCTCCCAAGAAGAAAGTACTTTTCTTCATATCTATTTGGAATTTCAACCCAAGGCATATGAATGTATGATATACCTAACAGTAATGGAAGGCATTTAATGATTAGCCAAATGAACTTTTATAAATTTATTAGTAATTGTTTATTTATAGTAGATATCTAATAAATAAGAGCTTTATTATCAGTGACTTATGGATATTTACATATAAACTGAGTGCAGTTTAAATTTATAATGAAATGTGTGGAATAGTATACAGTCCAGATATTTAGAGAAGACTATCACATTTTGAGTGATGAGTTTTATACTTATGGCTTAGCATTTTAATGGATATAAATAATTATTCACTATTCTTAAATTCAAGTATAAAGTTATTGAATTGACTCAATCTTTAATTCATATTAGAGAAAGTATATCCCTGTTGAAATCTGCTTTTGCATGATTATTATTTTTTTAAGTGGAAGCATTAAATTATTATTAGAAAGGCATTTCTGTGGGGTTAGAGTGATAGCACAGCGGGTAGGGCGTTTGCCTTGCATGCAGCCAACATGGCGGACCTGAGTTCGATTCCTCCGCCCCTCTCGGAGAGCCCGGCAAGCTACCGAGAGTATTCGATATGCCAGACACAGTAACAACAAAGTCTCCAATGGAGACATTACTGGGCCCGCTCGAGCAAATTGATGATTAACGGGAGGGCCTTTACTTTACTTACTTGTAATATTTATGTAGCGGATGAGTTGGAAAAATTCTCAAGCTAAATGCAATCATGAATCAAGATTATATGCTCATCTCCCCCTCCCATTCCCCTGCACTTCCCTTTGTCGCTTTTGCACTGATAGATAGGCTTGTATACACATGGTTTCAATTGTTTATGCACATTTGAGGTGGTGCTTGTCTATGGTTGGAGACTTTTGTGTGGTGCTCTGGAGATTGCATACTTTATTGTAGCACAAGGTACCATAAAGAACTGTTCCACCAGGATTGCACTCAACATGACAGGGAGTGTTCAAGATTAAACTCAGTTCAGAGCCATATCTTAGGCTACTGTATGTGTTTTGTTTTCCAGCATTACTTGAGCCACTAAGAATTGCCAGATGCAGACCCAGAGGCTCCTGGGAACCATTGGGATGGCTGGCTATCCAATTGCAAGGTCTAAGCAATAACACATCCTCGGCCTTGCAAGTGAACCAGCAGTCCAATTGATCCATTCATCTATAGTTGAGCATTTGGGTTATTTTCATATCTTGGCCATTGCAGCAACATAGATGAATCCAGAGGATACCATGCTGAGTGAAGTCAGTCAGAAGGAAAAGAACAGACACAGAATTATCTCTCTCATAAGTGGGATGTAGAGAGACACAGCAAGACAGCAACAAAGATTCAAAAACACCATATAAGGGAACTGACACCCACAGTTGAGTTGAGGATAGGGTTGCAGGTGAGAGGGAGGGGAGGGAGATGGGTACACTGGTGATGAGTGTGATGTCAGAATTATGGCCATGTGAAACCATGAAGGGTATTGTGACACAGTGGCTAGAGTGATAGCACAGCAGGTCGGGCATTTGCCTTGCATGCGGATGACCCAGGTTCAATTCCCAGCATCCCATTTGGTCCCTGAGCACCCCTCGGTGTGACCAAAAAACACTGCTCCCCTCAAAAGCGGGAAAGAATCCCTTCTTTCCACTACTTTAGATCCCTGAGCAGTAGTGATTAGACCGAATAATTATGACAAATTCAGTAAATTAACATGAAAATATAATTTAAAATATATAGTAAAATTAAATAACTTTCTAAAATAGAATGTGAGATTTTTTTTTAAAAATGTTATTTTTGCTACTCACATAAAGTATTTTAATTAAAGAGAAGTATGTTATTTTAATGTTCAGGTTAATATGATAAATACAGTATATAAGAAGAAATTTTAGCCTATTAGCTGCTCAGTAAGACTATTTTAAAGAATAATTTTCTCAATGTGTATTAGTTTCAATAAATTTAATTTTATATTAAATAAAACGTGATGCTTTAGAGATATAGTCTACTTAATTTCAGCTTATTTTGTAGAAAAATAACTTGTCCTTTAATATTTTCACTGCTTTTTCTAAATAAATATTTATAGTATGTTTCCCAATAATAAATGAAGAAAAGAGAATTAAAGAAAAGGAAAAGAAAGTGGCAGTTCCTAAACTTACAGACTTTATCATTTGATAGAAATATAAGGTTAAAAAGGAGCTATTTATTCAGCTCTGTAGTCGTAGTTGAACTTGGTACTCAATAAATATTTTATTCATTCCTCAAATATTCGTTGAACTATATGCCAGGTACTCTCTGGCTATTTATGATACATCAGTGAACAAAGCAAATATTCTTACTCTTATTAAGCTTATATTTCATTTAACAGGGGAGACATATCATAATAAATATTATAAATAGGTATATGTTAGTATATTGTGTCCAATGGAAAACAAAGGGAATTTGGAAGTAGATTGCTCATCATTTAAGTTTTTAATAGGACAAACTCTTTATTATTTCCTAAAATATTTAGAGAAAGGATTTAACCATATAGACATGAGAGAATGAAGATTTTAGACTGAGGGAATAACTAATGCAAATTTCATTTAAAGAACAAAGGGAATAATTTTATAGTAAGTCAGTAAGCAAGGAGGAACCTCACAATAGGAAGAAATAAGTATTATGAGAGGGTATAATTCAGCTAGGAGCTTGTAGACCATTCTTTGATTATTTTATTATGCATGAAAAGATAACAGGTGGATGCTATTGAGTAAAGTATTAGCATGATTTTTTTAAAGATCATATTTACTATTTACTATTGAGGATGTGACTGATCTAGACTTATTTCGATGCAGTTTCATAGTGGGTTCTCTAAAGAGTTGGGTTTGTAATTTTGGAGGTGGTTGTGGGGTCTGGGTGTGATCAAAAATCTAAAGTGAAATAAGCCCACATGGATGTTAATTTTCTCAAACTGCATTTGCCTCTCTTCATGCATAGTATCATGTTTAATCAAGACTGCAGATTTAACAAAGCAGCCCTATAGATTAAGAAAAATAAGGAAGCTGTGAATATATGGTCACTGCTTGTATAATTTTTGTTCATATATCAGCTTCATAAAGAAATAGATTTTTTTTTCTTTTTGGGTCACACCAGGTGAAGCACAGAGACTACTCCTGGCTTTGCACTCAGGAATTACTCCTGAAAGTGTTCCAGGAACAATATGGGATGCTGGGCATCGAACTCAGGTTGGCTGCATGCAAGGCAAACACCCTATCCACTGTACTGTCATTCCAGTCCCAGGAAATAGAATTTTAAGGGTATGAAGGACAGTACAATGTGATATTTGCAGAGTTCTATAGGCGCCATTTTCTATGAGGAAAGGTTTTTTACGAGCTTGGATATTCAAAGAAGTAAACTAGAAAACTAGCGGGTAGGCAGAAGCTTGAGTGAGTGAAACTTATGGAAGGAACAGTATCATTGGCAAATACAGTGCTGAAGGTATGATTCTAAGGTCTAGAGAGGTCGCTCAAACCGTTGAAATATATACCTAGCATGGCAGTGACCCAGTTTGGTCCCTAGAACTCCATCCCACTCCAGGAACTGCCAGGTATAGTTCTAGAGGTGTCTGGGCACTGCAGACGTGGCTCTGGTAGCCTTGACCACCAGGTCTTCACACTGTACATTGCCTAGATGGACTATCCCCAGACATGGATGTGGGGCACACTGCTTGGAAACCCCTTTCCCCCAAAAGAGAAAGAAAGGCATCGTCCTGAAATTATGGGGAAAGAAGGAAAGACATTAAAGACAGTTTGAAATATTGAAAAAACATTTAAATATCTATTGAAGTTGTAAATAGTTGACAGCAATAATACTCCACAGCTCAGATAATAGACAAAGAATGATACTTTCAAACTCAGTAGTTATAGTCATATTAAGGAGATGGGGTATGTAGTCATCAAAAGATTGGGGATTTTTAGGAATGTAGAAAGAAAAAATATTTGAAAACGTTGACAGGTTGCTGCTAGAATATTTTAATACAGTGTGTAAAGCAGTGAAAAGATTGTAGTAGGTACGTCATTGCCAAGGAAACTTGCCACCATTTGAGTGTTCTCCGAGAAAGCCCATTTTCTCATAGAAGAAAAAAGTTAGAATAACTGAGTAATAAATTATAGATAAAATCTTTATTATGGCCAATTATGAAATAATTCCTGAAAGCATATTGGGAATAGGAATAGAAAAGGTTGAAAATAAGAGGTTTAATAAAACCAGAGTCTAAAGGAGTAGTAGTGAGAGTGATATAAGGATTAACCAGGAACCATGATCTTCTATGAGGACTGACATAACTAGTTTAATCCCAGGCACCACATATCCGGAGTGATCCCAAAGGAGAGCTTGGAGTACTCTAAGCACAGCCAAGTGCCCCACCCCCCTCCCCCTCACACTCCCAAGCAAAACTCTTCTATTGAATAAACTTTTTTCAGATAAGTTAAATTATAAATACACCAGAGTCATAACATAATCATGCCCAGTGTTTAGGTATATTAACATGAAACATCTCTTTGTCATCATATAATAAAATTTGTGACAATTTTGTATGAAAAACTTGGTAATAACAAAGAGGAAAGGATATAAAGCTCAAAATTTTCTTTTTCTAATCTATTTGTATTATGTTGGGAAGTCATAGTATTTTCCACAAAAGAATGAGCATCTTTTTAAGGTAAGTATTTAAACTCAACATTAGATTGATAATAATCATTCTTTTACATTTAAATATAATATTAAATAGTATTTAATAAATTAGGAAAATATTAATTCTTAACATTTAATATTTAAAATATATTTATTAGCAGTATATACAATTTATATAACTTAACTATTAACTTAGAGTTATATAGATCTTATCCAAAACATAGAATCAACCTGTAAGACCAGCTGTAGGTGACTGTTTAATGTAGTTCTGATATAGATACTTAATGAAATATACTCTGATATTTAAAATATGAAAAGTTTTGGAACAAAATTCGGGAATTGCGTGGTTTGTGCTGAGTGAAATGAAGAAAGCAAAGAATTACTTCTTCAATGGCTTCACTCATATGTATAATATCAGTTATTAGAGGAAACTAATTGGCAAGAAACAACAAATGTAGCTCCTGGACACTGAAAATTTCAGTGGTTCCCAGAAGCAAAGGGTGGGTGTACAGTAGGAGGTGGGAGATGACCCTGAAAATTGGTATTAAGGACTAGTCAGAATCACACACAAATAAATTTGTGATGCTGAGCCCTTAAATTCCATAATACTGTAAACAAATGATAAATCAATGAAAAAAAATTGAGTTTAAAAGGGAGTTTCATTGATCGTAGGGAACACCAGCACTCAGTGAGCAGCACACTCCTGGTTCACTTACTCTGCTGTTGTAAAGTGCTGCCGAGGACCACAGCCTGCTCTGCTGTGCACCTTGACCTCTGCTGCTTAAAGCCTTATAATATTTTATATTATAATACTTGAAAACTATTTGATATTATAATATTTCGTATTATAATACTTGAAAACTATAAAGGCAATACTAATATCAATTGCATTAGTTTTGTTAATTCTGTGCAGTAGTATACTTATGATAAAATGAAGCTAAACCGACTTTAAACTTTAAAAAAAAATTATGGCAAAATATCTCTACTTATACAATAAGGTTAAGAAGATCATTCATTTGGAAAACTTGGGCATAACTCTGATTTTTTTTCCCGCACCGTTGACTTGTGGGATTTGCATAAAGCAACTTCTCTTCCTTGGTGCCTGTTAAAGACTAACAACCTACAGTAATGAATATTGATGATTCTTCATCTGCCTTATTTTTGTTCTCTCTCCCCTGGTTTTGTTTGTCTCATCTTTTGCAAGTCACATCATTTTTTAGATCACTACCAGCAGTCAGTCACATCAGAGAATCATTACTGTCTTTAAATATTAAAGTTTGATACTTTTACTCAAATATAATTTAAATCTTATGAGATAAAGGGAACTATGTAAAGTGGCACTTACATACAGGTTTACCTGATTATCTGAAAGTAAATCATAATTATTTGGTATGCTGTGGCAAGTGGTATTTTGGAATACTGTTAGCAGCACCCTATCTGGGGAAAAAAAAACGTGGGGCGGGAGCTATAGTACAGCAGGTAGGGGTTTGCCTTGCATGCGGCTGACCTGGGCTGGATCCCCAGCATCCCATATGGTCCCCAGAGCACCGCCAGGAGTAATTCCTGAGTGCAGAATCAGGAGTAACCCCTGAGTATTGCCTGGTACGACCCAATATCAAGAAAGGAAGGAAGGAAGGAAGGAAGGAAGGAAGGAAGGAAGGAAGGAAGGAAGGAAGGAAGGAAGGAAAAGAAAAAATTGTACATTTCCAGACTCTAAATATCACCTACCAAATTAAGCTAAATTGTAGGGGTCTAGGTTTAGAGTGCAGAGGAACCCTGCACTTCTGTTAGTAGTTATTTGAATTTCTTCCTTTTCTCTGTTTTCATTCTAAAAAAAAAAGGGAGGGGGGGGTGTATTTCCAGCTTTATTTTTACTTGACATTTTAAATAAAGACTTTGATTAACTCAAAATACACCATTAGATGCTTTTCTTGTCTTTTTTGTAGATTTCTAAAACTGCTTCATATCCTAATTAATATATTTGTATTTTCAGGGCAATTTTGGAGAGGTCTATAAGGGCATATTAAAGGATAAAACTGCTGTTGCTGTTAAAACGTGTAAGGAAGATCTTCCTCAGGAACTGAAAATAAAATTCCTACAAGAAGCCAAGTGAGTTCTCTAAAGTAATGTAAAATATGTATTAATAACCTAAACATTAATTAAAACATATGCTTGAAATTTAGCTAAACAATAATAATAAAAATGCCAGAATCTAAATAGTAGTTAACAAGTTTTCAGTTTTTAAAAATTACTGCTTTTATCACACATGTAACATATATAAAATATATTTAAAGTAATGTGATTATATATCATAAAAACGTTAATGTGTTGCACATTTAAAGTCTATAAATTAACACACATTAGTTTTACAACTATAGCTCTTCTTTAGATATTGTTACACTTAACCTATAGTTATTCTTACTTGATTGTCTTCTTGTAACAAGTTTTCTTTTCTGAGAACTTCATATTTCTAATTCAACTCATTTATCTGACTTTTTTATAATTTGCATATTATTTCTTTTCTAATTAATTTCCTTGTATAATTGTCTTTTTTTCTATTATTACGTAAAATTTATTTTTTTTTATTTTAGTGAGACATCATGAGGTACAGTTGTAGAGTTACAAATTTGTGTGCTTGGGTTTCAATTATACAATGATCAAATACCCACCTCTCCACCAGTGCCCATTTCCCACCACCACAGATCCCAGTATCCCTCCCACTCTCCATCTCCCCCATCCCACCCTGCCTCTGTGGTAGGTAGAGCATTCCCTTTTCTTCTCTCTCTCTTTTTGGGTGTTGTGGTTTGCAAAAGAGGCAATGGGTGACAATCATGTTTGGTCTATAGTCTACTTTCAGCATGCTTCTCTCATCCTGGGAGGATCCTCCCAACACCTTTATTTGGTGTTCCCTTCTCAATTACCTAAAATTTAATGTTCCAGACTACTACCCTTCATTGCATATAGTTAAAACTATTGTGTAGATTGTAAATATCCAAGTATATACAACAAAAACAAAATATTTGAACAGTTATTAGTCAAAGTGAATAAGTGAATAAGGATATATGAATGGGAGGTCTGACTGTCTGGCTTAGTAGCTGGATATATGGATCCGTAGATAATTATTTAGAAGGAAGGAAGGAAAATGGTGCTAATGCAGTCTCATTTATGCCACATAGAGTACAAAATTTAAATTTCCACCAAGTGCCATGGGAGAACAGAGGATGTGACAGTGATAGAACCAAGTCCTCTGCCATGGAGCATTTTGATTACATTTATCCATTCTTCATCTTCCTGAATTGATATTGATCACAACGTATTAAACTAGTTGGGTACATCTATTAAAGTTTCTCAATAGAGGGCTACAGTAGCAGTTAAAAGAGTTAGAGGCTGTGCCTTGCACAGAGGGGGTCAGGAATTTTATTCCCAATATTACATGTCCCTGAGTACCCCTGAACATGGCCCTGATAGTCAGCATAAGCATTAAACCCATCATGGGCTTGAACCCACTAGCACTACTTAGGAAACCTTCCCCTACAAAAAAAGAAAAGAAAAAAAAGTTATCAACTTTTCTCAAGATATTGGAAATTCAGAAAACCTTGCATAAAAAAATGTACAGGTAGGCATGCTATCTCAATTGAAACTCATAGTTTTTAGGCTGGAGAGGCAGTACAGGGGTTAAGGTACTTGCCTTAAACCTCAGTTCAAACCGTGGCGCTTTATGTGGTCCCCCAAGCAGTTCTGGGAGCAATTCTCAGAACCTCTCATAAATCTGAGCACTGCTGGTTGTGACCTAACAACCAAAAAGAAAAAGTAAAGAAATGAATTGTTTTATTTATCATAGCTATTTGTAGATATTCTTTTTTATTAATAATAAGCTTTATTAGTTTCTTTTAGATTTTTTTTAGTGAAACACCATGAGGTACAATTGTAGATTTAGAAATTTTTGTGCTTGCGTTTCAGTTATACAATGATCGAATACCCATCACTCCACCAGTGCCCATTCTCTACCACCACTGATTCCAGTATTGTAGATATTCTTAAGATACTAAGTTATAGCTAACATAATTTCTGTAAAATTTTAATATTCTTGCTTTTTAATTTGTGATTAATTTTTGCAGTATAGTTTAATTAGTTTCTAAGAAATTTATGTTAAAAAAACCAAAATTTTTGACATGTAAATTCCTCAGTACATCTTAATAGATGGTACGATGTATCTTTTGGATATTCTCTTTCTGGGTGGTTTGCTCACAGACTACTCCTGGCTTTTGTTCAGGGATCACTCCCCTCCATACTCAGGGGATTTTGAAGTGACAAATATCCAACTGGATTCTACTGTCTTAACCTTGTAACATCTCTCCAGCCTTGTTGTGTTGAATTAGTCACAGTTTTCAACCAAAGAAATAACATTTTGGAGTAGGAAAAGAATTTAAGTGAGATAAAATGGAGGAGGTGGAACCAGGATGATGAAGGGTGCTCTGTAGAGTATGCCCGGGAAAATGCAACAAAACTAACAATCAAAGGACTCTTTGGATGAACCTGCAGAGGAAGAACATCTCAGGAATCAGCTGAGAGACCCTAGGGAGTCTGCACAGACAAGCAGCTAATATATAGTAATCTAACCCAACACGTGGATATAGGGTTGGTGAAAAGGCAGAAAATCCGCGCCAGGCTGTGGGATGGGTGGCCAGACGGCCAGGCAGCATTTGACCTGGTGACACAGTGCATGAAGTCAGATCTGTGGCTCTCCACTCACAAGGTGTAGGCAGGACTGTGTCCACAGCCCAGGAGACACAAGCAGGCAAACATGGCAGAGTCTGCTATTGCATACAGGCATGGAGCCTATTCCTGTCAGCTCTTAAGGAGTAGCATTCTGGCCTCTCAGAAGTACCAGGCAAAGACAAAGGTTAATGCTATCCCCCAAAATCCCATCTCAGAGCAAGCATCTACCTAGTTGCAGAATGACTTGCTTTGGGGGGGGAGGGGAAGGGGGAATGAGGCTACTGAGACCCAAACCTAATGACTGAAGCAGTCAGGCCAGAATGAGTCTCTGGGAAGTCAGTGCAGACCCAAGCTGCATAGACGCCACAGTATCTGTGGGCAACATAATCATAGTATGGGCACCAGGTGAACTTGATGAATATGAATCTTTGATTACTCTTCAGGCCAAGACCAGATCCTGATTCATAATCCTGATTTCACAGTAAGCACAGTAAAGAGCTGTAAGAGTCTATCAGTATTAGTGAGTGAAGGTTAGCCTGGAAGGTCTCCCAGTACACACCCAACCTATAACCTCCCAGATGATTACTTTAGAATAATCTTGGTGAGTCTGTTCAGTAAACTGAAGGAAACCAGACAGATATCCAACACAGAAAAAAAGTATAAGAGAGACTATGAGAAAGCCGCAATCAGAAGACACAGAACTGGAGAGGTTGGTAGGTAAAGCAGAAAAACTCATTGGAAGGTGTCAGAGCAAATTGGTGAGCTTGGAGTCATGTTACAGGAAATCAGTAAAAAGTAAAAGATGGATAAAAGATTGAAAAGAAATGAAGAAATTACCGTAGAATTCTTGTATAAGTACAAAAGGAACAATGCATGAATCGCAGGAGTCTTCAAAGAGGAGGGAAAAGATTGATGAAGATCTAGTGGTGAAACAAATCATATCTGATGGCTTCCCCAATTCTAGGGTTTAATCTTATCCCCAGATTTTGAAGGTTAGGGGATTAAAGTAAATCCAAATAGGAGAGGAGGAAGATATTGGCGGCATGGTAGCCAGTGCCAGGACTGGCAAAACAGTGGCTGCTCTCAGCGCTCTGAACAGCGGGGCCAATGGAGCCATAATATTACTGGGTGAATGTTCAGTATTGAGCTGTTTCTTTTCCATGTGTTTGATTTTATTTTCTATTTGTGTGTTGAGATTCACTTCTATTTTCAGCGCATCATAGTCTGAAAGGATTGTTGATACAATCCTGTCTTAATTTTATGGAGATATTTTTTGTGGCTCAGCATGTGCTCTATCTTGGAGAATGTCCCATGCACACTTGAGAGGAATGTGTGTTCATCATTTTGAGGATGAAGTGACATTTTATACATATATATATCACTTAACTTCCCGTTAGTCGTCGATTTGCTCGAGCGGGCGCCAGTAACGTCTCCATTTGTCCCTGCTGCGTGCTAGTGTAGCCCAATGGCATCTGTTCGCTCCAGGAACATGAAGGGCCTCAAACTGATCGTTCATGATCTTCACGAAGAAGTCTGACCATCTGGTAGGTGGGCGGCCACGCGGTCTCTTGACATCCTGTGGAATCCAATCGGTAACAGCTCTAGTCCAACGGTCGTCTTTAAATCTCATTACGTGACCAGCCCATCTGATTTTCGACACCTTGGCAAATGAGACAGCGTCCCTGATCCTTGATCGTGGACGGATGTCAGAACTCCGGATTCGTTCTCTCATTTGAGTGAAACATGATATTCCAAGCATAGCTCTTTCTATTCTTCTTTAGGAGACCTGAATGGCGTTCTCATCTTGTTTGCATAGGGCCCAGGTCTCTGAGGCATATGTTAATGCAGGAAGAACAGTGGAATCAAAGAGATGTGCCCGGAGCTGGAGGTTCTTTGTCCTCTTAGCTATTTCTTCGACGTTCTTGAAGGCGTTCCAAGCCGCTCTCTTCCTCCCGCGCAGCTCGGGTGCCAGGTCATTTGTCATGTTGACCTCTCGACCTAGGTAGACATAGCTGTTGCATTCGGAGATGGTCGTTCCATTGAGAGCGAATGGGGCGTCAGGAACAAGGCTGTTTCTCATAAACGTTGTCTTCGTAAGATTCAGCTGTAGTCCTACCTTTCCACACTCACGGTCAAAGTCGGCCAGCATTTGTGCCGCTTGGCTGATGTTTGGTGTTATTAAAACAATGTCATCAGCAAAGCGGAGGTGGTGTAATTGCCGACCATCTATCTTCACTCCCATTCCTTCCCATTCTAGTCGTCGCATGATGTTCTCGAGGGTGGCACTGAAGAGTTTCGGTGAAATGGTATCACCCTGCCGCACCCCTCTCTTGACATCAACGATCACTTCTTTGTAGAATGGTGAGAACCTGGTAGTGAATCCGCAATAG